GACCTTGAGCTACACGAGGGAATCAGCCTCCCCAAATACCTCCCACCTCCCCTCTTGAGAATTGAAACTAGAATAATTGGTATGGTGGTACCGTGCCAGGTGAATTTTTCAGCTAAGCCAACTATACCCACCAGATGATACTTCTGTATCAACATAAAAGTTGAATCTTCTAAGTTATGTTAAGAAGTGGCTAATTCTCCAAAATGAACACCAGCAGCTAGCAACTTGCACATTGAAATGCTCAAATGAATGTTGAGCAAGCAACAACATAATCAAGTATTCACAGAAGGTGGTTCTAGTATGAAGCTAGGAGCAATGACCAATAGGAAACCATCTGAAGAACATATGAATTTCCTATAATGAGAAAGAACTATGAGCAAATACCCTTTTCCTGGACCCATACCACTTGCAGCTCCATGCTTTCCACATGCAACCTCCACCTGAAATAAGGCCACTATTGGCTTCCCAGTATGAAATACTTAGGAGGCAATTAAAATAAAACATACTCACTGCACATTCTGGATCAGCAAGCATTGCAAATGTGACATCACAGGCTGCAGTTACTTCCTCGGGAGAAGGCTTATATCTGCATAAGAAAACATTTTGTAAGATTTCTTCCCTGCTTCAATCTGTAGAAGATTGCACTTTGAAGAGTTGCAGATGAAAGCATCAAGAGCAAATATAAAATAGCTAGATTCCTGCTCCCGGAATTAAAATGAATGCTGAGTCATCCTAAGGTCACTTGTTTCAAGCGTCCCATTTGGAGGTAGTCCATGACCATTTCGAAATTCCAAAAATCATTTACTTCATAGGTTGTATGTACATTAAGTGCTTACTTTGCTCCCAAGCTGATGAGAGGATCACATTTGCTCTTGGTCCTGTTCCAAACAGTCACATCACACCTACAAAATGCCAAGTATGGGATTAAACTAAACAGTCCAGAAAATAAAATTGGCTCGACATAGCCCAATCTGATAGCTGTTTTATTTTTTCTTCTTCTGTAGTTCCTGATTATGCAAAAATAAAATACACTGCAGCCATTTGATTCTGTCATTCAAACAGAGTAACAACAAAATAAATCATACCCAGATTTTATGAGATTCTGAGCCATTGGAGAACCCATAATTCCAAGGCCTAGAAAGCCAATAGTAATTGGAGAGCCTCCATCTGCAAATTCAGAAAAGGGTTTCGTTAGATAGGGTAAATACACCAAAAACATGTTTTTATACATGAAAAGCAGCTCAACTGATAGCTAAATACAATCACGATTATCTGTTAGAACATAGTTCAAATATAAAACCTATGCTTTATTATGAACAAACAAATTAATGAGGTATTCTAACAAGAAGGCGGTTACAGTGAGACTGCCCCTGGCACATTATCATCGTAAACAGTTTGTCTCCTGGCACTGCTGCAGTCTAACAGGTTTGTGACACCTCGTCATTTTCCATTTTGAAGATAAGAAGAACAATACCTTTGATGTTCAATATGCATATGCCATTGCACAGTGCTAGTTCCATTTGCAGTTGCATAAAACTATTGCTTTTGAAACCTCTGGTCAGATTCAAGAATTTTACAGACCAAGCATGCTCACAAACAATTATGTATCCACAGGCACATTGCTTTAGCACTAACAACCTCATTCTTCAACATGTATTCATTATCTTGGTATACATGCAAAACGAAGCAGCTTGTCCTGTACAGCAACCATACTGCTAATTTTGCAGTTCTAGTACCAATGTGTATTTGCACTGTGCCCCACTTCATCCATCCATCACAATGTCTATTTCCATACGTTTTGTATAAAATTTACGGTCAAAAATATCATTATCTGTATCAGATCAAACCATGTAAATTCTCAATTTGCTCTCATCATTAAAAAAAAAAAAAAAAAAAAAGTTCTCATCATTAAAAAAAAAAAAAGATACATGTGCAGGAAGGACTTCTGGTTTGACTCTCGTTGCTCAACTTGAAAGACATTATGAAAGGAATCTCAATCTGCAATCTCCACGCAAATGCAGTTTTCAAATCCCATTCAAGCTTGAAGGCAAACACTTCAATTACTAAACAAGTGAATTAAGCAGGGCAAGCCAAGGAGCCACCTGTTAATACTTTCTGAATCCTTGACATAATAGTAATTCAACCTAGTTTGGCGTTATAAAACACAAACCCCATAAAGTTTCGCAGCTCAAGTTGCTGAATTGTACATGAAGAAGAAGATGAAGAAGAAGAAGAAGCAAAGCAAAAAAATACCATTAGCAGGAGAAATTGAAGCTTGGGCAGAGAAGGGCCTGAAAGGTTGATTAGTGGGAAAAGAAGAAGAGATGGGTATTGGTCTAAAATGGATGGGAAGTTGAGCGCAGAAGCTTGAACACGTTGCCATGGAAGCAATTGATGATGATAAGAAGAGATGACCGTTGCTGGCCTTAAGCAGCAAGGACATAGTCCCTTCCTTGTTCGCTTGTTGCTGCTCTCTTCTCTTGCACTTTAAACGGTTGTCTGTACAAGGACATAGTCCCTTCCTTGTCCCTTCCTTCTTCTCTTGCACTTTAAACGGTTGTCTGTGTCCAAACCAAAGCTAAGCTCGCATTTCTATGCAACCTCTGCATGTTAGTAAGGGGATAAAGAAAAAGATAGAGGGTCAGTGAAGTTAAGGGGCACGCTCCCATTTCTTTTTACTTTTGTAAGAGAATAGCTAATTTTGGTCCCTATATTTTTATAGAAAGGTCATTCCTCCCCTTATTTTCATTCTATTCAATTCCCCCCCCCCTCATTGAAAGAATGCCAATTTAGACCAATTAATAAAGACATCCAATTTCCGTCAATTATTGAAATGGAGGATGAAATTGAATTTTTAAAAACAATAAGGGGTTCTCTCTATCCATTTGATTTTCATTTCAACAAGAAATACAAGTTCTAGTTTACAATCTCATTGGAAAGGGATTGTAATTGGACTGAGACCTTAATACCTTGATATTGAACAAGATTATCAAAAATTTATCTATAGTATGATAACTAGTATAAATTCGAGTAATTAACTAATTGTTGGGGCAAGAAAAAAAAATAAGCAATTTATTTATTTATTCAAATTTGTCACTTCATTTGTACAACCTGGTTACACTAAAATTAAAAATACATATTGTAAAAAAAAGGAATTAAACATTAAAATGAGGCTGAAATTAATGATAAATATTAAAATTAATTAAAAAAGTCATGATTAATTGAGATAAAGCAATTGAACACAACAATAAGAATTCATATAATTGATTAAAAGGTTTAGTCCTATTTATTCTAATAAATTAAATTAATTAATTATTAAATTTTTCAAACATGTACATGCAATGAAAATATTAATTTTAAAATTTCTTGAAAGTTCTAAGAATCTCGTTAAATAATATAAGGTATTTAGGATTTGTAAGAAAATTACTTAAAAATCACAATTTTCTTGTTTCTAAGTTAAATCAACTTTTCAAGATTAAATTGTTGCAAATTACAAATTGTTTAATTGTCTAACCTCTAACAACAATCCATACAAATCACAGATTTAAAAACCATAATATGTTTCTCTTTAATCTTTTGATTAAAAAAATATAAAACCAAGAATTTTATTTATAGGAAAAATCAATATATTGCTTTGTTTATGAAAAATATTATATATTTTATTTCAAGACTATTTTAGAAATTTATGGAATAAAGTCCTTTATTGATTTGTATAAGTCTAAATATTGTAATCCCAAGTATAAATTGGATTCTAGTCCATAATTTCTAAAACCTAGTTATAATCAAGTCATATTTAATTAATCATCCTAGTTTAAGTTTATATTAATGACTTTTATGTGTCTTACCTATTAAATTTCAAATATGGTCTTAATATAAATAAAAATCCTAATAAAAATAACATTAAATAAATTAAACAATTTAATTCATTACAAATTTTATAAATTGATTAATTTATATATGAAAATCAAATATATCATCTAATAACATGTTATAATCTCCCAAATATTTGGAATATTATATATTGTTGAATTTAATCGTTTAGTTATTATTTACTCAATATAATTAGTATTCATTAAGAATATTATGATTTAGTTATTCATTCATTAAGAATATTATGATTTAAACATTTGAGCATTGCTTTTCAAATCATATTGGTTCTAAAAAACATAGTCATTGATTATTTGAATGGAAATTCTTTTCAAATTTTATTTCATCTTATGTAAGTATTTCTCAATTAATATACTACGGAGAAAATGTGAAATATTTTTTTTAATCCATCTAGTTGGGGAATCTTTTTTTTATCACTCAAATACCTTAATATAATTTATGTTATATTCAATATTTTTTTTATTTTCTACCCTTGATTAAGACAATATATAATTAAGATCATGATATCATATTTTTTATATAGGATAATTTGGTGATTTTTAATCTAATGATCACTTATACAATAATTACACGAGTCTTTCTATAAATATAGATGATCTTTTTATATATAATCGTCATATAAAGTAATGGAACACTTTCTCCTCCATGTTCCTATAAACTTGATGAGTGGTTTTGACTCATAATCTTAGTGTTTTGAGGAGTAATTCCAAATCATGCTTTTATGTTCAACAACTATGCTTTCATAAAAAGATCATCTATGCTATCATAACACTCATTTCTCTCATAAAACCATGATTTTAACTATCATAATAACTAACTATATTGTTATGTGATTATCGATCTATGCTATCAAATTTATTATATTTGTTGTTTGTCTTGAATTATCTATCATCCAAGTCCAAACTTGAATCAACACATTACTCGCGGATATGTCAATTTTTACCATTATTTTTGAATCTGATATTATTTCATATCAAGTTTATTATATTTGTTATTTGTCTTAAATTATCTATCATCCAAATTCAAACTTGAATCAACACATTACTTACTAGGTCAATTTTTACCACTATTTTTTAATTTGATATTATTTCATGAACTGTTATATCTTTTCAGTAATATTTTCATCAATATATTCATGCTAACTTTTTATTTTTTACCCTTGATTAAGACAATATATAATTAAAATCATGATATCATATTTTCTATATAGGATAATTTGGTGATTTTTAGTCTAATGATCACTTATACAATAATTACACGAGTTTTTCTATAAATATAGATGATCTTTTTATATATAATCGTCATATAAAGTTTTCTCCTTCATGTTCCTATGAACTTAATGAGTGGTTTTGAGTCATAATCTTAGTGTTTTGAGGAGTAATCCCAATCATGCTTTTATGTTCAACAACTATGCTTTCATAAAAAGATCATCTATGCTATCATAACACTCATTTCTCTCATAAAACCATGATTTTAACTATCATAATAACTAACTATATTGTTATGTGATTATCGATCTATGCTATCAAATTTATTATATTTGTTGTTTGTCTTGAATTATCTATCATCCAAGTCCAAACTTGAATCAACACATTACTCGCGGATATGTCAATTTTTACCATTATTTTTGAATCTGATATTATTTCATATCAAGTTTATTATATTTGTTATTTGTCTTAAATTATCTATCATACAAGTCCAAACTTGAATCAACACATTACTTGAATCAACACATTACTTACAGATAGGTCAATTTTTACTACTATTTTTTAATCTGATATTATTTCATGAACTTATTTCATGAACTGTTATATCTTTTCGGTAATATTTTCATCAATATATTCATGCTAAATTTTAACTCTGTTACAAAAATTACTAACAAAGATGAATCTCAACATCAATAAGTTGATCTTCAATAATAGCGTTCAATAGGAGTTTTTTTTTTTTCATTTTAAAACATCAACAAAAAAAATCAAGGCCATGAAGTTTTTTGGATTCAATTTGATTTTTTAAAATATATTAAAATAATATTTTTTTTATTTTTATTTTTTATATCAACTACCAAAATCATCTAAAATATAAAAATAAATAATTTTAAATAAAAAAAATGAAATTTTACAAATATCCATTCGGACCACACTGTCAAAGAGGGGCTTCAATATGCTTACTTACGATAGCAGACAGAGAGACCTCATTAATTAAATTATATGATTATTTGACTGAAATTAATTCCAGAAATATCAAATACATACATGTATATAAACAGATCCTCGAAACAATGGTTAGCAGCATTGGTGCAATAAACCTTGGTGGTTGGTGCACAGAGTGGTCAGTGACATTGATCAACTCAACACAAGTTTCAAACAAAGTTCTATCTAACGGTAAAACTGACGTATTGTACAAGAGTTCCAGCTAAGTTGTATTTTTTTTTAACTCTATCAGGGAAGGAGCCGATAACCTAGGGCCAAAGTACCATAATTTGAATTTGCGTTTTCACAATTACAAGAAACATTCTATAACCAATTCAGTCTCCTTATAAACGATAATTGCAACAGAATATCCATCAGTTTTCTGAGAACAGCCCCTACCCTTACCAAGCATGTAGATGACATCCCTTCAATCAAATTGCCAGGATTTGATGCCATTGCCTCGTTACTTACGGTAAGGATGATACCTTCCAGTAACAGCAGCACCACCATTTGCACTGCCAGCATACCCCTTATTACTACCATAGCCACCACTAAGAGCATCACCATTGTCATACCTTTTACCACTGCCAAAACCATCACCATCGCCATCACTAGTTCTCCCATATCCTTTACCACCACCATACTCGGCAGCATTGTTGTAACTACTTGGAATGCCATAACCACTTCCTCCATATACACCAGTTCCATACATCATTGGCCCACCAAACCCGAAACCATAACCATATGCACCATAACCACCATAAAAACCAGCAGTGCCTGCAGGATAGTTTCCTCCATAACCGCCATAACTCCCATAACCATCATAGCCACCATACCCACCATATCCTCTGCCCATTTTTCGACCATAACGACCTGCAGAACTATTGCCAGCACCAAAGCCACTAGCACCATTGCCAGCACCAAAGCCACCTGCACCATTGCCGAATCCAGTATGAGACTTTGCTGTACTGCCATAATCACCACCACTTCTCTTTGGTTCAGCCTTCTTTATTTCCACCTAAAATTTATATTGAAGGGCTTGAGCTATTAAAATCTCACAAGATCATGCCATAAACAACCAGTAGGATAACAGGAATATCTATTCAGCAGAAATACAACCTACCTGTTTACCACCAAGCTCATGTGTTCTGCCCTCTGAAAAGATTTGTTCTACAGCATCTTCAATGTCAAACGTGACAAACCCAAATCCCCTAGACCTTCCAGTCTTATGATCTAGCATAATCTGGTGGTCAACAATGCTACCATAAACAGAGAAGTATTCCTTTAACTCATCTGTAATATGAAAATACAGTCAAGGGAGCACATAAATTTAGCTCATTCAAAAAGGGAAATTCAATATGAAAATTGAGCTATGCTACCTTCAGTCAAAGAAGGTGGTATTCCACCAACAAAAATTTTCTTTGTTCTTGTTACTCCTTTAATGTCCATATCTTCCCTTGGAACTGTCCTCTTCACTTCCACCTGGAATAAGAATACAACAGCGTAAGTTCCAAAATACCAAGAATTCCACCATTTATAATGAA